AGATATCTCTTATTAAACACTTGCATCGTCTCTTGGTTCTCCTGGTTTACCCTGATACAGTAGAACTGTGTTCACATTTGAATCAGATCCACCATGTTCACCAATGAAATTGTCCAGATATGTGAAGGTTTTTACTTTTTCCGAATCTCCATCAATTGTGATTGCATTGGTGCATTCTGTGTTGTATCGGAGAATCTGGCCTTTCCAGTTGTGTATATTGAGACTTACTATCGTTGAGACTGTGCTAATCTGATCGTCCACTCCTGCATTTGTTTTTGCGTGTGCGATAGAAAAGTAGGTTTAAGTAAGATCATCGGCGAAGTCTAGATCGTCCAGCTGCATCCTAAATGTCCACTGTATCTCATGTTTCGTCATATACGTTTTCAATTTATGACCAAGCATCAGTGATAAATCGGATATCTCTGTGTAACCTTGTGTGACAGCGAATCATCATTTTCATATATATATCTCGTTAAATTAACTTTGAGAGTTATTTGCAATTAAGTAATCAGAATAAATTATATCCCCTGAGTTTCAGAATTCATTTTGTATTTAATGTATATACATTTTGAAGGTAAAAATTACAGAATTCATGCCAGTAGTTTACAGATGTGATCAGCATTTAAATTGTGCTTGTCTTTCATTTGATTACCATTTCTGTTGGCGTCTTAGTTTATTACGATATTAATCTGGTATATGTAATTCGTGAGGTTAACTAAACTTGTACGTTTTAAGACAGACTCTAAACACCGAACATTGTCTAACTCAATCAAAAAACCTCCTCAATAACATCGATTTGAAACGTGTATATGAGGTTTTTCAGACCAACGTGGCTGGCAGGCTATTCACGAATTCATCTTCGAGTGGACTGATGTGATCTAATCTACGTCCACACAGATCTGTTAGTTTCTTATAATTTTCTGTTTGTACCCAGTTATCTACATGTCATCACAGAAACTTCTTGCATTTTATCACAATGATCTGACATCACTTTCTCTAGTCGTCATTATTATGTTGGTCAGATAGAATGAATTGGACTTCGTTTAGAAGTTATATTTTCTTATTGAACTATGATGAAATCGTCTAACAGAAGTTTTATTACAATGAAATTCAAGTGTAAAAGTGTAAATGCTGAACTCCCATCTAAACAGTTTGTGTCATTTTGTTTTGAATCAATCAAATAGAAACAATACACCATTGACAGTCTATAAAGAGGTATTTGCAGGCAACAAATTGCTTGTTCATATTTTTGAGTAGCAAGTTAATCAACCATGTATTACAAAGCACGTTTAATCACATTCAAGAGCAGTTTCATCAACAGCGGTCAGGAATATAAAACAACGGTGGATAAACTCCAGCTCAGGTTCTCAATAGATAGAAGAATATTGAATAACGATCAGATATTCCACCACCATGATTGGTCAGTAATGAACATAATGAACGAAATTTGACCTTCATGGTCACTTTGAATCATCAAATCAGAATAAAACAACCAAACACTCAATAAATCTATATATACCAGACATTTTTTAGTGAAATTTCATTAACTGCTTTGAACAAGATGATGAGGTGAGTGTTAGCTGAACACAAGAGGTAAATGAGTGTATCGTACAAATTGAAATTTGATTCCATGAGATAACGTTCTTTTATTCACTTGAACCATTTCAGATTCAATTCTCCATATGATCTGTTGATACGAATTTCTATAATCTTGAACGCATTTTCCGTGTTGTGTAACTGTGATGAAATTTGTAAACATCCGAATTGGGTGAACTTTGAACAAGTGATTTTTAAGAATGAATCATATCAATATGTAAGTAATCGGTCAGATTCTAATAGACATATACAGTCTCATCATTACCACTACTCACAAACCATTAATCTCAATCAGCCTCATCCATTTGTGAATGGCAGTTTCAAGATATTCGAAGAGGATAAAGTGAGTTGGTTACATTTTGTAGTTGAGGGACTATCCACTTATTTACACCTTTTAGCTTATTAAACCAGAATTCTCGTTAAAATTTTTTGAAAGTGAAGTCAGTAAATTTAGAATTTGGTCTGATGGTAAGTCCATTATTTTCTTTGAATTAAAATTGTTATTGAATTTACTTGATCACCAATTAATCTCATGAATCATAGTGGATTCAATTTCTTCAATGAATCACTTACATGCTCCTTATGACGCGCCGATTTCTTCAATGAATCAGTTGCATGCTCCTTATGACGCGCCGATTTCTTCAATGAATCAGTTGCATGCTCCTTATGACGCGCCGATTTCTTCAATGAATCACTTACATGCTCCGTGTTACATGTCCAACTTATGCAATTTATATTTTATTCATTCCATGTGAAATTATCAATCGAATTGTATGTTTTCATTACCAAACATTTAGGTTTTTTAAATATATTTAAAAAAGACGAGATAATGGGACAAATCTCAAATTATTTAGGAAGAGTTTTTTCACGTCAACTTTTGAATGAGAGTGAGTTTCTTGAATTATTCAGTTGCAGTTTGTTTTATTTACTGTTCTCATATTCATTTTGCACATATGGAATCTCATCGATACGACAATTCTCAATAAAGTCAGTGAATCCAAATAAACAAATGTGCAGTGATAAGCGGTGTTCTGAGTTAAATCAGTTTGTACTATTGAAGCCGACAATCTATCAAATCTTATTTGATTCCCTAAAATACATTTCTAGAACTTACTCGATTCCTAAACGTTTAATGTCTCTAAGTCGCTGTCTGTCAACCATCGTATATTCTACTGTATCTCTTTAATCATATTCACCTTCATACAATTTTCTAATCCAACCACTTTCTGACACAGCGGACTAATGAACGAACGTGAACAGTCGGCTAGAGCAAAATTCTTTACTCAAACTAGAACACATAGAACATCAAGTTTACATCCGTATATCTCAGTCAGTTATATGAATTGACGATTAACAAAATCTAGCATCCAACAAATATCAAAAGACAATTACTCAGTCGAAATCGTTTGAGAAAAATTAACAGAAGTGTAACATTCTCACTTAGAAGGATTGAAATGTTCATCATATCGTTGAAGTGACAATAATCCTTGAACCTTCCTCATAGGCGATGATCGAGCATTTCACCACACCGTTTCATGTAAATGTCAGAATGAAATTGGCAACTTGTTTGCAGAGGTAGTCCATGTTAAAACGTACATTTAATAAAAGAGATGGATTTTCATTTTACACAAATTTCATTATCTATTTTCATTTTCAATAATCCAGAGGGATTAATCGTTGTCAAATTGTCTCTTAAAGGAGAAGATAAAGGTAAACATGATTCATGACAAGTGAAATTTGCACAATTACTTCTTTACTCCTTGTGATCACACACTGTTTGTACAATTCAGTTTTCAGGAAATTGACATGTAAAACTTTCTTCCTTTTCTGGAAATTGAGGGTTGAACCAAATGTGAAATCAACTCACCGTTTGATCACACATTGAATGGGACTTAAAGCTCAGTTGACATCGATTGAGAAAAATTAGATATGACCTGTAGAATATTGATTTTCATTGCCTGTTTGAAAACCTGTGCAGAGATACATTCTCGTTTAAATGCTACCATGAAACTTGACGACAAATCATTGCTTCAAAACAAACGAACCGTGTCATATGTTTGTCACAAAGTCATTCTTGTGCATATCATATACATCTACGCTTCCATTCATCGCATAGTCACTCCTATATAATATCCTTCCACATTGAAATATCGTTGGGATTACACATGCAAATCAATTCGTCTCTCATCTACAACAAACAAACACTGTGGTCACAGTTACTTGATTGATTTAAATATCCAAGTGTTAGGTGATCAATGAGATTCTCAAGTTGTATTTGTGAATAAACGCTCCACAACTTATGTTATACCTACTTGGAGTCGATTGTTTCAAGGAAAATTATAGAAACTATTGCAAATACTTTCGCAGTATTAAACCTTCAATGATTCAGTAGTAATGCAATAGTAATACAGATTCAGAAACTCAGCATTTCACACTAGTTTGGAAGGATGCATGCCCGTTTCATTCACATGACGTTTATTTCAATGTTTTGAGTGCGAATCCGACTGAAGAAAGCATTTGACACAACTCAGTAATTATACACTTAATTTGATCACTTTGTGAGTGAGCATATGCTGTGTTACATCTATCTTTCAAATTATAAGTATCGTTAGTCTTTTTGTTGTAGAGTTTGAACCTAAGATATCTAATCTGTTATATCCGAATGGGAAGATATCTATCTATTATGAGAACGTAAGTTATAAAACTGAATGTACATTTAGTTTTGTTTCAATTACTTGAGATCATTCTACTATTTCATGCGTATGAATACTGTCGAATGTGTATTAAGCTACACTGAACATGATGGATAAAGATTAACATTTTGTGATGTGTAAACAAACTATTTGACTTTGTAATTATTCTTTTAATGACACAACTCACTGTAGCACTTGTTAAAATGTGAGTAATTAGAAGTGAAGTGATATCAGTTGTAACAGTGATGTATTCAAGCAAAATAGTACCAACCAGTGTATGTCAGAATAGTGTATGTAGTGTGTCTTATGCTGTCAGACTGTATCTCATCTTCAAATGATCGGCTTTCCGTAACATTCATTATTGCATATTCCGAGCACATTTTCGTTGAGGCTGTTAACAATCACATTTCATTACAACTGACGTAGATCTTCATCTCACAGCGTAACAACATATTTCATGACAGACTGATAAGTTATCAAACTTGGGTGAAGTTGACAGCTGGCGTGGCTAAGAATATCTATTAACACCAGATGGAACACATTTTCAAAGAAAATGAGAATATCAGTTAATTTAATGTAATTGTGGTCAAGGTAAATTGAACGAACACCCATTTCTTTAATGATCAATTTGTTCTGATATAAGAGGTTGTGTGCTGACAAATCCTCGTCCCATGTTTCTTTCAGATTATTTCGGAAATTAACGAAAATGAGATGATGTTTGGAATCCAAGGACACTTTCAATGTGACACAGGTAAGAAACTTTGCAAAGAATGATGTTAACATTTTGATGCACTGTGACGTATTTAATCAATCATCTGGTCTCTGAGGCTCATATAACCGGCTATCTGGAGTAAGGTAACTAAGGTGTATTAATGTTTTTTTTATCGCAAAAGTCTGGATGTGTAATTAGAGACGTTTTATACTTGTGGAGATCGATCAACTGAACGGAGCAGTGATATAAAAACGACAAAATCAGGTAGATAAAATATTGTACGACCGTCACACTTGCCGTTCTCATTCATATCACCACCCAATGCATAATGAGGTGTGTTTTATATACGAAAGTGATGAATAAGTAGCACCTGAAGCTAATGTTTTCTTCATACAATGCTCAATCTTATGTGTTGTTGAAAGATGAGGCTCAGTTTCAATCTGAGTAAATGAGCGGAATTCAGTGTTTCATGATCACATGTGAGAACATGCACCAAATATTTGGTCAAGTGATACATATTGCTCGGTTGAAGTGCATAACAGAGTCAGTAAAAAATTATGAAAATTGTCATTTCCATATTGCTCGTTTGAATTCTCTCACCTGTCTCCTGTTCATTCGTTTGCTTTCTGTGATGTTTGCTTCGATGTTGTAGGCAAAGATGGATGGTGGTTAGCAGTGGAATCGATTGCCGTCATAAATATCGAACGGAAGATTGAGTTAACAGAGCAGGAATGAAATACCTTTTCACGCTTCGTACAAACAAGTGGGTGTTTGGACTGAATGGTTAGGTGAATATCAGTGTAGCGTTTGAGTTGAATGATCCTGGGCTCCGGTTCATTAGTAAACATCAACTCTGAGATGTAGGAATATCCAGCTGAGACTTTTTAAATAAGAAAGAACGCTTATCATCTTTCGTTCTTCATTTGATGCTCCCATGTTGTTAATTTGTAAGCTGAAACGTGAAAAAATGTTTAATGGGTTGTACTTGAATTTTTTGCGGTTGTTCCTAAAATAGAAATTTCAATGTTATGTTTTTTCTCTTCAATTTGTCACACAAGGTAAGACAGAACATGAGATATCTGTTCCTGTAGAATGGATCAAAAATGGCACGTTAGTGGAGTATGAAGTCATCGGCAGTATGTTAAACCTTATTTATCATCATTTACTATTTTCACACTTGAATCCATTTTTTTTTATTTCAACACTCTGGGAATTTCATTTGTAACCGCAGTTATCTAGGCATCCGTCTCAAAATACGTTTCATTTACCATTAGTAACTACACGTCGATTCACTTTCAAATATCAAGAATGATAAGGTATCCATTTTGATCGATTATTGAAGTCTTGTGGACAAGCTCACAAAACGATGTATGACTTGATAGTAATCTGGAAAAAGATTAGGTAACAGTTATTTGATTGTGGATTGACCAGGCAGAATCTGTTTTTCCTTTTTGGTACATGTGATATCGAATATTTCTGGGACACTGAAATCACAAGAACATTCCATGTCATTGCGATTAACCACAAAACGGTTGGCTACTTTCCAAAATCTCTGCTTTGTCATACATATCCGATAAAATGAAGATGAAGAAATGTGACGTCACCAAACTTATATTCATCATCGACAATCTCAGAATTAATGACTTATTTCACAGTACGAAATTGATTTCTTTCTCACGAATATGAACACTCATTAAATTAAAACAGATTTCAGCTCACCATGTGTTAGGCTACTGTAATAACATTTCCACCACTGTGAGAGTCATTCCATTATCCAATAATCAAATAGCCTTCAATATTCATTGAATAAAATATGATCTATATCATCGATGAATTTTCTTTGATCAAACTAGTCTGTTGCATTAACTGACAGCACACAGACCAGAATGCGGCCACATACATTGATATGTTTTCTCATTGTAAAACAAATAAAATCTTTTCAGGAAAAATATGACAATGATGATTGGAAAAACAATCTCTATCTTCATTTAATATTCTACTGAATTACCATGATTGAATTGAATTTTTAGTCTAAGAACAACTGAATTTCCATCACTGCCTTCATGAAAAGAAACTGTATATTGATGGAACATAATGTGGAGTAGGCTTCTCTGAACCCAGTGAGAGCATTGTGTGTACATTTCTGAATCTGAACAGTCAGTGAAATCTGTCAAGTTTGTCAGTCGAAATTCATCGTTCATAATTGATATTCTAACTTGTTTCATTCACTCTAAACATTCCGTTGTGAAACGTTAATGAAATTGAATGTATACTGAGTATTGCATTATGCATTGTGATAGCAACTCTCCACTGAATGAAATAGTCACTTAACACTGAAATCACTATCATGTCATTTAGTTATAGTTCCATGTATTGTGATTCTCTTTAGTTCTGTTTAAGTATTCGAATTATATAATCACCTCATTACGTTTACAGCAATTTGTTCAATACACAATTCAAGTGAAGCTTGCCAACAAGCAACAACACCGAATGTAAAATGTATTTGGTGTGAGAAATGGAACACGTGCATTGACAGTAATCATCAGGATCATCATTTCTTTAAAGTGAATGATTGCCATTATAAGGTATGTCGAATCGGTGTTAGATGTTCTGAATGATTGTACAAATGCACATTTTGTTACTGTTTGTTGAATTGTATTTTATCACCCTTATTGACAGTAAAGCGCAATGAATTAGTCAAAGGGTATTTCATGTTTTTTAATGAATGCTACTGTTTTGTTTTTCTATAGAATGCGACCACTGAAATAACTCAAGAAAGTGGACAGAACAAATCACTTTGGTACCTGTATATTGTTATTCCTTCCGTCGTCTTCTTTTTTGCTGCATGCATCAGTTGTGTTATTTGGAGATGGTTGCATAAAGGAAGGAGAAGTAGTGAATGATTCTCAACAAAGTCTCATAACTAAATTCGAATATTCTGACAAATTCCGCTTTTCTTTTTCGTATTTTAATGAACAGTTTTAGATTTAGTTATTCGTTTTAATGGCTTGGACTTTTCTTCACGGAACTATGTACATTTTGCGCTTGTTTATGTTATAGCCGATGTATTCTTGTTAATTAAATATCAAACATGATTTATAATATTTACGTCATTGTCTTTATTCATTAGAAGCTGACTTTTCTTACGAGAGTTCGACAACTATTTTTTCGGAATTAGTAGTCATGTGTTTACGTGATTCTGTGTTAATTGCAATCAACAATGAGTTTGTTGTGAATGTCCATCGTCATCCTTCGTTACTTCATTATTCATTGTTATGTTAATGATGAGTGAAAAACCAAGGTTAATTCGGTGTTATCTAGACGGATTGTGATTCTTCCCAAATTTTTATTGTTGACAGAAGCAATAAACGGCCATCATTTTCCTCCAAACGAGCTAAAACGGAGTTGTCTTTCTCAGCTTCACAAAGAATACCGATAGAGTTGATAGTTTGGTGTGCTAAGTGCTGTTGAAAAATAAGTATCCAGCGTTGCACAATGAATTGCAGTTTTCGGAGCACACATACTTCACGGTTGTCACTGAAGATGTTCAGTTTCATTGTTCTGAATTGTGCTGTGAGAAACTGAATGAACACACACGAACTTGTTGTTTTTGAAAACTCGAAATCATAGGCCATCAAGTACGAAGAAATCATTAATTCGTAAAATTATCAAAACCATAGCAGTTTAAATAAGAGTCCGAATTTATTTAATGGACTGAACTTCTCCTTAGGTTTATCGTTCATTTGTTTAGCTACGTTCTGCATATAGACTCTGTGTGACACAGTCATCTGGTTTCTGGAAGCGTATTTGAATAATATGCCTATGTGTATAATTATATCATTGATGTCTGCAATTCGAAGCAAAGCTCTTCCAGAACTGTTTTCTCTATGAAATAATATTTGATATACAACATTTGATATTGAATCATCCGATCAAATTTTAAGTTGAAATTGATTTTGAACTTGTTTCAGGTTTTCCACATTAGGAGCTCCTAAGTGCCATGGTAGGGCCGAGAGTGAGGAGAGTCAGCTCTCTCCAAATGCTCTCACATGGCCACGTGCGTACAGTCCCTGTCAAGGACTTCCTACTCACTGACTTCTCGCGACTGGGAGAGGACAAAATGCGAACGGCTGGCGTATCAACCTTGTTGTTGGATATGGAATAGCTACATAAAGGAGGTGGAAAACCCTGAGTACTAATTAATGGTGCACATAGACTCTAGGATCCTGAGTGAATAAATGACATGTGAATCAATTATGAGTCAGCGGCTACCATGAGACTGCATCTCCCACGTTGCTCCACCGCCTTGTGGATTGCACCTTTAGGTCGAACGATCCGCCACCTATTTCGTTCAGGGCAATCGGAATATACCCTAGCTCTCATACAGATTGAGTGATTTATGTGGAGCATATATACTCGGTGCCTCGTTGTAACAATGTTTATTTGTTGAAGAAAGAAATAAATAAATACTGACTTTTCCACCAAAAAAACATTATAAGCGCAAGTAGCATTTAATATGACACATTCAGGATATGATTCATCCTAAATATTTTCCTCAGATTTATTAAGAATTTCATTCGATGATCAGTATCTAACACAGTCACACCAGAATTCCGATTAGCAATCGGTTCATTCAACATATTTTTCTCATTTTTATAGAAAATCTCATCAGAAGAATGCAAGTCATCATTACAACCCATCTGTGTTAAAAGAAATTGACGTATGTGATAAGAATATGACTGATTAGAAACTTCTAACACACAATTATTGTTTCATTTGATGCACTCGTATTTATTGTGCTGCACCAATTATATTCTGCATAGTGGTAGATCCAGATGCATCACTAATTTTCAGCTGTCTCAACAAACATCACGTGAAACATAGTTTTGTTCTAGTTGATGTTTAGTTTCAGGGTTATATAAGGCTAATAAAACTTCATTCAATTCTGAACTAAGGTATTACTATATACTTTCTATCTAAACAAAAATGTCATGGAAATAACCAAGGGAGGTATATAACTGCTAGTGAGTATGAACATTATTTTACGAATTTTTGGACAGAGATACGTTATCACTAGAAACGGACAATTTAACAAAATCCGAACTGCAGTCTTTATCTTCATCAGTGGCAATACTAAATGTAGTTCTACAGACTGACCGAATGTAACTAATAGTACAACATTTTAGACATTCATTATCACGAAATACACAGGAATTATGTGAGTGCAATTTAGCACTGGATGAACATGTACCGAACTTGTGCTCACCTCCGTGTCCGGCTTTGCAATTACTCTAATATCTGATATTCGCATTATCTTGTGCATGCATCAGATCTGAATGACTATGTAATGTGATGGAATTATCGACGTCTTCATGAAATTTTTGTTTTTCCAGCACTCTAAATAAGCACACAATACATGATTTAGTAGTACGTTTTTGAAAGATGCGCAGGAAAGCAAATCACGCTCGTTTGTTAATTCCATAGATCCTCGTTAGTTGTAAGGCACATTCTTTCCATCTATTCATCGAAAACATCAGAATTTGAATGTGTGAAAACCAGTATGACACGTATGTTTTGCTCGTTCTTGACTTTGTTACACGTGTACTTTGTTTTCTGAGGTGCACAGATCGAGTGAGAAGCAAATGAGTAGTTATTTTGGGTCCATAATCATGTCTCAGTATTCTGTGCATCGAAAACCCGTCGATTCTCTGTCTACGATAAGACGCAGTAAAGAGGTCTTGTTTTCCCATCCTCTCTTTTTGTGGTAAACATCAGGGTTCTAGAATCGCACGTGTAACTGCACTCTGTACTTTTTCGAGGTCAAATTTTAAACAAGAACCTGCAGCCTCAATACATTTTCCAGGCTTAATTCTCATTAAGATTGTGTATACTGTGGTGAACATGGTAGTATCTAACTTGGTGAATGTCCGTCTTAAAACCCACAGTGTTTTAAACGTCTAAGCTTCAACTGCACGATAACGATCAGTGGTCTTAAGTTGATGACTCACGGTCAATCCAAGATCCTTGTGGAACCGATCTACGGGTAGAGGCACTTCCCTTATGCAGTAGCTATTCAACTTTTCATCTCAAAACATTGAAGTCAACTTCATGTGAATGAAACGAACATGAATCCTTCCAAACTAATGTTAAATGCCTGGTTTCTGACTCTGTGTTACTATTGTATTACTGTTGAATCATTGAAGGTCTAAAACTGCATAGTTATTCGCACATATGCAATATTTTCAATAATTTTCCTCCTAACAATCGACTCCAAGTACGTATGTCATAAGTTTTGGAGCGTTTATTTTCAAATGCAACTTTAGAATCTCGCTGATTACCTAACATATGGACATTTAAGTCGATCAACTAACTCTGACCACAGTGTTTGTTTGTTGAAGATGAGAGTCGAATAGACTTGAATGTGTAATCTCAACAATTTCTCAATGTGAATGGATAATGTATAGGAATGACTTTGTGACGAACATATAACACGATTCATTTTCTTTGAAGCAATGGATTATCATCAAGTTTCTCAACAGGCGAAGTGAGATTGTAACTGAATGTATCTATGGTGATCAATTTTTGACTTTTCAGATCTAATCATTATCAGTTCATGTCAACTGATCTTCAAGTCAAATTTAATGTGTTCAAATGGTGAGTGGATTTCACGTATAGTTCAATCTTTATTCTTCAGAAAAAGTAAGAACTTCTAACATTTTCAGTTTCTAAAAAGAGATTTGAATCTCACAAATATTGGGTGATCACAATCCGTGAAGATGTAAGTGTGCTGGTTTAATATGTGTTGACTTACGTGTGCCATCATCTTCTCCTTCATGAGATCATTTGACAGTGAATAATCCAACTAAATTATTGAAAATACGAAAATAGATAATGAAATATCTGTGAAATGAAAATCCATCTCTTTTATTTAATGTACTTTGTAACCCGGAATACCTTTTCACACAAGTTATCAATTTCATTCCGACATCTACATGAAATGGAGATGTTTCAAGAACTATTGTCACTTCAATGGTTTAATGAACGTTTCTATCCAACCAACTCGGGAAATTATTTCACTTCCGCGAAGTCTGTTCCATGATCTTTTGACTGAGTATGAGTAATTCAATATCTCTCTGACAATAACATTAAATAATCAGTTTCTGAGATTCAATTATTCATGTATTCGGATAGCAGACCGAAGTGAATATATGTAAACTTGATGTTTTAGGTACTTAGGTTCAAGTAAAACATTTTTTTACTGGCGGACTGCTCATGGTCGTTCAATATTCAGCTCTTTCAGAAAGTGCCTAGATTCGGAGATCATAATCATACGAATATGATAACAGTGATACACTTGATTCAAATACGAATCTAGTAAGTGCTAGAAGAGTAGTGGAGGATAAGAAATATGATTCGTTATTTTGTAGGCTTATAGCGACTCACGTGCAAATGGGTTTATTCTCATTTAACTCAGTTAAGCCCTTTTGTTAACTTATTTAGCGGACAAAGTCATCCGCACTATAACAATTTATTGTACCCTTATTACTTTGTGTTTGTATGAAATACGTATGCTTGAATATTGTTT